TAATCGCCCCCAACTTCTAGCACTGTGCAGAGGTCACAATTCTTCAGAGTTTCCTGATTAGACATCAACTTCCCCATAAACAGATGGACTTTTCTCTATGTTTCACTATATTCCTGTAAAGGTGTGACATTTTAAAGACATGCTTGATATTCAAATCATTTCCAAACAAAATTCATCTCCTTTATTAAATGTCTAAAATACCAAATTATTTTGTTCTGCCGTAAACTCTGCGAGAGCAAGGATGACATGCCTTCCCTGGAAGATAATGGGCAGTTTCACAAAATTTTGCTTAATGAATAACGATGGAAAAGATGACTAATCTTTAATGTCACTTCATACTACTGAAGTTGACAACAGACATCTATAAAAGACAAGCTCTGACATTCTTCTTGCTGCATAACACCACTTCTCTAAAATTACTATTAAGAAATGCTAAGTCTGAAGAGCCTTTTATACTACCCCGAGAACTGAGAGGTTTTTAAATTTTATTTTATTTATTTATTTGAGAGAGAGAGTTCGCGCGGTGGTGGGTGGGGGTTGGGAGGGGCAGAGGGAGAAGGGTGGGGCTCGATCCCAGGACCCTGAGATCACAACCTGAGCCAAAGGCAGACACTTAACCCACTGAGCCACCCAGGCAGCCACCCGAGAACTGAGAGTTTTGTCAGGACTCCAACAACACGTCTGCCATCCATGTGGCCATGCTAACAAATCCTGCTCAGGTTCGACAGATGTGACAGCGAGTTTCTCCCCTTCTCCTGCGAAATAGGTGGGAGAGTATAGCAGCTCCCCTCAAAGGCAGCTGAAGAAATGCACGCTGGACGATGAAGCTGCCCCCCGTGAGATCCTGGTGGGCCACAGCCCGAAGGGCCACAGGGGGGCATCACTGCAAGCCGGGCCTATTAGCCCGCCTCACTGCCAAATCCCAAACGGGAAGGAGTGTGAGCGTGGGCACGGGAGGTGTGATGGGCACAGGCACCATGGGGTTCCTGCGAAGATGGAGCTCGTTCAAAATAGAGACACCTTTTTAGAAGAAAGGGAAAGAAAAAGAGAGCTTTTCTCCCTATAAAATGCCTTTTAGTCCTTTCCCGTCAGGGATAGCCTACTGGATTTTAGATGACAATTAATTACTCTTCCATATGGCTGCTGGAAAATTCAGAGACACTAAAAGTCTAGGATGCAACAGGAATATCATGCTCAGAGCCTTTGACCTGTAGAGCCACAGACCCTGGCCCATGCCCCCTGTGTGCGCCAGCCAGCACAGTACCTGGCAGAGAAAAATGAGGCCAGCGCACGTTCTCTGTGCCCAATTCAGAATTTCTCCCACAGACAGAGTGGTGCTCTGGAGTTGGCTACAAACAGAGGGAATTTGGCCTGAGAAAAGCCTGCAGAATTTGGGAGTTTTAACAGCTGGTAAGCAAGAATGTTTTGATACATTTTCAAAAAATGGTCTTAGAAATTCTAGAATGAGCAGGACCCTTCTCTGACCCCAAACAACATATTGGCAGACAGATGCATGAAATGCAATTTCTAGTTTCTGTCTTCTTTTTTTTTTTTTAAGAAATATTATTCTCAAAAATAAACAACTTGAACCTTTTGCCAGCCCAGCATTCTCTGTCTTTGTCCTCACCAGGCAACGTGCTCACAGTCATTTCTATTCAGCAGTTATATATCACCCGAGCCCGCTGCCATCCCCGGAGGCAGGGAAGCATGGCCAAAGTAGCACTGGGAGCAGGATTCAGGGTCTTGGCTCGCAGCCACGATGGCCTCTCACACCCCCTGTCATGTGGATAGATGGCTGCGAGTCAGAAGGTGGCCCTTGTTGCTGCTGGTGCTTATCCACCAGGCCCCCAAGCGGGCTCCCATCCTGCACAGCTTTGTGGTGATTTCCAACATGGCAGCCACCCAGCCACGAGACCCCACTCACCCACCCACCCCCGGGGAGCAGAGAGCCTCAGGGAGCTAGAACTCTCTTCTCCTCCCCAGGGGTGTGGCAACCCCGGTCCGATCCTGCGTCCAAACTCACACGGGTAGCGCATCCTGAAACCAGGGACGATGTGGGTGGTACCACTATCAGTTCACGTTTATCCAGGACTCCCTCTGTGAGCATCACTGCCACAAAATGCCTCACTGGGCTTGGGCCAGGACCCCGTTCATCAAGGCGCACTCAAGGGAGCAGACAGAACTGAAGCAAGATCCCTGCTGGGCCACCCCAGAGCTCGACAACCTTGAGAAAGTCCGGCAGCCCCTTTGGCCTACACTCTCATCTGATAAATGGGGATGCTTTTGCCCACACCACCCTCTCCCCAAAGATACTGCAAGTTTATGGCGAAATACCAGAGATAAGTGGATGTGAAAGCTCAGCAGACACTGGGACGCACACTCCATACATACAAGGCCTGGACAGGCTCCAGTCCAAGGTCACACAGCTGGTTCATGGCTAGCGTGGAGCGAAGGCCCAGGTGTCAGGACTCCCAGGCCAAACAGGCACGGCCCACTGTTCCCCTCGGTTCAGCGGAGCGCAGAGACCACCAGCTGGCCCAGAAGGCCACTCCGAGCGGGAACTCTGCTCGGCTGACTCTCATCCCCCGAGGCGGGCTCCTCACCCCCACATGGCACTGCTGCCCCCGTGTCTTGATTTTCACCACACACACACTCACACACACACACTTCACGCATACCTTCGCTCCTCTAGATTATCAGCACTCACTGAACTGGTCCTGAAGGCGGGGATGTATCAACACCCTGGGAAATTCTGGAACCCTCAAGCTACCGCTATTCTTCAAGATGAAGATTTCTGGAGGTGGGTGGAAATTAATGAAATAAAAAGATGCCTTTGGGGTGGCAATGTGTTTCTCTGGCAAATTTTATTTCATTTGTGCAAATGGTGTAAGATCCGGTAACTCTGACTCTTTAAAAAGTGGTTCTTCTTCGATTAGACTAGATGGCACTGTGGTATCGCCCTTTTACCACCAAGTAAAATCTCATTTCATGTCAGATAATGTCGCTTCTATTTGGGACCATCCAAAAGGGTGAACCCTCCCCTTGAGGGTACTGGTTATCTAATGGAAAATTTCTGAGGGAATGTGCCAGAGGATAGTGGCCACCAAATACATAATCGGGATCACATTTGTAAGGTTTGTTTAGGGACCGCGTCACACCCCGATCTACATGTCCAGGAGGATTTTCAAAGGCACATGTGTCCTGTGGAGCTCTACACCTACAAGCTCCATCAGCAAGTGAGATTATTTTCAATATTCCCAAATTGTTTGGAACCTTCTTAAATAAACCCCAGTATCTTAAGGTGACAATGACTTACACAATTCTTACAATGGACTGAGGCGACAAACCTTCCTGGAGCCAAGGTTCTCTTAGGATGAAAAAAAGAAAATCTATTAGGGCTGTAAAGGCACTGAACATTCAACAGATTCTGCCAGAATCCCAGCATTCAAGAAAGGCCGCCGTAAAGAGAGGGAAAGGAGCGTGAGCAGGGGTGAGCAGAAAGTCAGAGGGCTCCATTTGCCTGCGTCTGGAAAGAAGAAACTGCACTGGCTTTTGCATTCCAGGAGCCCTCTGCAAGGCATCTCCTTGTCCAAGGCACAGAGTACCCCGCGGCGCCGGGGGGTGGGGGTGGGGGGGTGGGGGGAGCGGTTGAGGCAGCAGAGGTAGGAGTTAGGAGCGGATCCAGGTAGGCAGCTGCTGAAAACAGGGCCCCTGGGGTCGCCTGATGGAGAGGCAGAGGGCACAGCCCACAGCCGTGTCCTTGCCTGCTCAAAGACCCTTCCAGAGGCCCCCTGGCAATTAGACGCATCCAGTGCATTCCCTGGACTCCTCGGCCAGGCCCTGATGTGTTTTAGGGACAGTGGCATAATCGGAGCCCTAGCTGGAGCAACTCCAGCCCAACACGCCCTTCTCCCCCTCCCCCTTTTATGGCACTCCATGACCTCCAGCAACCAGGCATTGCGGCTCCATGAAGGAAAATGCCCTAGCTTCAAAAGCAACTGGCTGCAGGCTCTTCATAAATCACCATTTTCCGCATCGGCCCTGGGGTTCCCAGCGCGTGGGCTGCCGGCCCCCCACGCTGGGGCTCAGGATTTGTACACGTACATCTGGAGAGGTTTCTCAAGAGCGACCCCCCACACGGGGTCAGGGCAGCGTCCCAGCTCGTCCTTCGGCACGCAGGGTGCCCCCTCGCACTCGCAAAGCGCTGCGGATGGCCCGAGGGCAGCCAGGGGCGGGGGACGTAAGCTGGGTCCCACCAGCTCTCTCCGGGTGTCCCCAAACAGCGGCAGAGGGATACCCACTTGCCCAGGGCGAGCAGAACCAGAGGACAGAAAGGAGAGTGGCAAAAGTCAAAGAAAAAGAGAAAAATCAGAATGGGTAAAAGAGAAAGAACGAGAAGCAAAGTGAGAAGAGAGGGAGAAGGCAAGAGCGAGCGGCCAGGGACCGACAAGTACGGGAGCAAGAGAAAGAGAGAAAGGCAGATAGAGGAAGTGAGAAAAGGAGGTGAGGGGAGAATGAGGGAGCGGGAAGAGGAAGAGTGGGCAGAAAGGAGGCTTCGGAACCGGGGTGCAGAGAGAGACAAGAGGGACTCAGGGACCTCACACGCCGAGACCGGTTCTTGCCGGCGCTCCAGCCCGGAGTCCGCGTGCGGTACCCTGTCCCGGCGGCGGCCGGGGGGGGGGCGCTCGTTCGGGGCCTCCCGGACGCCCCCCCTCCCGCCCCCCGCACGCACTCCCAGCCACCAAGCAGGCCAACCCGCCGACAGACAGACGAGCCGTCCCGGGCCGCAGCGGACAGGCTTCCTGCGGCCGCCACCGCGCCATGAGCGTGCGCGCCAGGGAGTCTGGCGCCCGCCCAGTCCGGGCGCACCCGCCGGGCCCAGAGGTGCGCCCTGGGGCGCCGGCCGCGGCCAGCCGCGCCTCCCCGCCCTCCGCCCGCCCAGGCCCAGGTCCGCTCCCGCGCTCCAGGGCCCGGCTCCCCCGCGGGCGCGGCGCACTCACCTGGACGGTCTCAGTCTGGCGTCGCGCTTGCCGTCCACCACGGCGGGCACGCAGCTGGTGAGCTCGGTCCAGTCGGCGTGCAGCCCGCAGCTCCAGCCCGTGGAGAACCTGGAGAAGAGCCAGGTCTCCCGCTTACCCGGCCGGTGGCAAGTGCATTTCTTCTGACCCACGCGGCACTCGCACGGCTGCTCCAGCTGGATGTTGCGCACCAGGTGGCGGCCGAAAGTGGTGCCTCCGGTCTTCTGAATGTGCAGGAACACGATCAGGTCATCGCCCTTGATGTCGAAGTCTACCTTGCGCAGGAGGTCGCCGCGGCTGAAATTGTAACGGGGCACGAACCTGGCGGAGCTCTCATCCTCCGAGCGGTACGGGTCCGGCATCGGGGAGCTGAATGCCTGCAGGCGGAGGAGCTGACATTCTGTGCCGGGGCACACGTACTGGAGGACGATCACGGCAAATAGGAAGAGCATCACCAAAGCCAGCAGCAGCTTGTTGGATTTCTCATCCATGTTCCCGACGCTGGGGGAAACCCAAGCTCGTTACGTCAATCCCGCAGTTCAGCCCGCGCTCGCCTTGCGCCCGCACCGCCCCCTCCCCCCGGCGCCGCCGTTGCGCCCCCTTTCCCCTCCCCTCCACACCGAGTACTCCACGGCGGCGGCGGCGGCGGCGCCCTTCCCCGCTTCCTTCCTTCCCGGCAGGCTCAGCGCTGTGGCTCCTGCCGCACACCCCCCTCCCCCCGACTCCTTCCCGCTGGCCGCCTGCCCTCTCCCCCCGCCCCCCCCCTCCGCCGGAGCTCTCCAGAGCCGCGTCGCGGGCTCTCGTCCCCACGGGACGCCGCCTGGCCCGGTCGCCTCCACTCCCCAACTCACACCCTGCCCCCCGGTTCGAGCCCCCGCGCGTCCCGCTCCACTCTCGGCGGCTCCCATCCCCGTCCCGCTTCGCCCACCGGACTCTCCCCGGCGCCTGGGCACCCAGTCCCCTGGGCGCGCACGCCGCCGCCTCCCCGCCCGCTCGACTCGCGGGCTCCCTCCCCGTGCGCCCCGAAGCCCTGCCTTTGCCCGCGCCCGGCTGCCCACCTTGGAGGCCGCCTCGAGTGAGCTCCGAGCCGGGCGTTCGGAGTTTCCCCGGGGGGACGAGTCCGCCGGCAGCCCGACTAGCGAGCGGAGACGCTGCGCTGCCGGTGCCCGCGGAACGGCGGGGAGGGAGCCGCAGCGTGGCCAAAGGCGCGCCGCGCCCCACCGGAGCCCCCGAGCCCGGCCGCCACCGGCCAGCTGGAACTTTGCGCCCTTTCCTTCCCCTCACGGTTGCCTTCCCTCCCCGCACGGCTCCTGCGCTCCCCGGCTCGGGAGCGCGAGTCCCGCTTTCGCCTAAAACGTACCTGGCTAGGGGTCCGAAAATCTTGGAGAAGATCGCACCGAGCACGTGCTTCAGCGAGTGGCCCAGGGCGGCCAGGCCCCGAGTGAGCAGGGCCCGGCAGAGGGAGCCCAGGTCCCAGCGTCTCCTGAGGTCGTGCATCCGCCTGCGGCGGCCTCGGGGCAGCAGCGCGAAGAGAGGGGTGCGCGCGGCTCCCGCCACGGAGGAAGACGCCTTTAGGGGCTCGTCCAGGAGCGGCTGGGAGTTGAAGCCGCGAGACACACCCCTAGGAGGGCCCGCGCGGACTGAGGCGGCGACTGCTCCGGGCCGGCTCGCTGCCAATTCGGCCTCTACTCTGGAATGCCGGCGGGGACAGGTGGTGCGGGCGGGCGCTCCTCGCTCCGGTTGCAGCGGCGGCCCGAGCGCCCGGGCTGCACACGCAGGCAGTGCCATTCCCCCCTTCAGGCAACTCAGGGTACTAAGGATCGGCAGCGAGCTTGAATTTATGTAATAACGCCTCGCGCCTAAGAGCTCGAGCTACTTCCCAAGCAGAGGACCTGGGCTTCCGCCTGTCTTGGGGAACGGAGGTCACTCCAGTGAGCGCATCACTCCACTTTGGCTGGCAATTTCAACCTTCCCTAAAATAGCAAAGGCGCAAATTGGACCTTTTCCCTCTCTCTTTGCCAATTTCTATTCTCCAGCGGAAGCGGGGGCATTTTCTGAAAAGGTAAGTCAGCATGAGGGAAAAGCACGAGCAGAAAAAAACAAAAACGTTGCAGAATGGGAATCTGAGCTTTTTCAGAGCAGAGACTCACCCTTACTCCTCTCTTCTTGCTGAATCCCCGGCATCCAGCCCGGTGCCTACAGGAAGGCTTCACTCCTTCCTATACGGTTTAGTGAAGGAAAGATACATGACTAAATACTACATCAGAGTGGGGCCATCGAATCCAAGATGATGTGGTAAATGAGGAAACCGAGGCCCAGAGAGGGAAAGACGTTTGCCCGGGGTCACACAGCAGAGCCCCGGGGTTTGGACCCAGAGAACCAGGCACCATCCAACCCATTCCCTGACACTGACGCCACCTCCTCTCACAAATAGGTGCAGACCATTCTCAAGCCCTGGTGTTGAAAGGCACTTTTTGGCTGTAGGGACCACAGATGTAAGGATGAGCAAGGAAAGAGGGGATGTCCCCTCAGGACAAGGTCCCCGGGAGCTCAGGACTCAGACTGTTCCTATCTGATTGATCAGGTGGGGCTTGGTGTCTATCAGGAACTGATGTTTCCGCCATGGAGCCCCACGGCTGCAGAGGGGGGCATGGGTGGCACAATGTTTCAGAGCAGCGCTGTCGGGGCTGAGGGAGAGGGCCACAGTGAGACAAGTTAGGGGGGTGGGGGCAAGTCCCTCAGGAGATACAGGCTTGCCCAGTATCTCCCTCAGAACATTTGATCCCTCTGTGCAGTGAAGCAGCAAGCACTGGTCTGAGAATCTATCACATCCTTGCTGGGCAGCCCTCAGATAATCACTAGCCCCTCCTGAGCCTCAGTGTTCTCTTCTGTAAAATAGGACTCATTCCTTCTTGTTAACCATCTGGGTCACCGTGAGGATGACCCTTGGGCCATTTTACCCGCTGTGTTAAACCTGCTGCCCTCAGCTCGGATGTGCCCACTGAATCAGTCACAGGCCAACTAAGGAAGGGGTCCTTCTTGGGCAATCTCACAGCTGTGCCCCCTGCCCTTACCTCCCCCCATACTTCTCCAGTCCTGGCTGGACTTCCGTGTGCCCCCCAAACCTCCCGGGGACACTGGGGGACCTTTGTCTGGCTCCAGGCAGGAAGGGTTTGGGGGAATCCTGCATTTCAGGCATTCCACCTGTCCCAGGGCTCCAGGGGGACATTCTAACCGATGAACTTATGTAAGGAGCCAGACACAGCAACTTAGAAGGTAGACATCTTGGCTTCCCCGAGAGCTCCCCGGCTCTCCCCCCGCCCCCACCCCAGCAGGCTTGTGGGACCTACCTGCTGCCCCTGAGGATGGGTGAGCGTGTGAGTCAGAGGAGTGAGAAACCCTGGGGGTGGCCAGGGAGCTCAGCTTGCCGGCCGTCCCCCCCATTTCTCGTTGGCCACCCACAGCCGTCGGCCTCTTTGGGCCAGCAGGTGGCTCTCCTCACGGTGCCTGATGATGACTCTCTGCCCTCACACTCTTACAACGACATTCAGTGGGTCCCTGGGAAAACAGTTCTGGAATGGGTGGGTCACACGTTCATGCCCCCAGCAACTACTTGGAGTTTCTGGGATTGGAACCAGGGCAAGTGCCTCGGGTAGAGATGTGGGGAGGGAAGACAACCGGTACAAGGGAAAATCGGAATTTACTCTTTCAGGTCATGAAAAGGAACACACGCGGGCGTGTGCACACAGACACGCACACACTTAACACTCTGACTCTCGGGGAAAGAGGCAGTCAGATTGGTAGTTGCAGAGCATAAAGGAGGGACAAGATGGTGCCATAAAGCCCAGGTTCGGGGTCTAGTAATGAATCCACACAATAGCTCGCCGGAGGATATTTGCCTTTACAAGCCTTTCCTCCACCCACCTCATGCTCTAAGAAAAAGAAATGAATCTCTTTATCAGGGCTCCTGGAAGTGGAAGGAAGTGTCTTTGAGGGGAGCAGGGGCGGGGGCCCCACAAGTCTCCGAGGACCCCTCCTGGGGCGAAGAGGCTCCTTGCTAAGAAGAGGGAATTCTTCCTGTGTGTGTCCCCAGAGCCTTGTTCTGCTGAGGCCAGGCCTGGGCCTTGGCAGGAAGTTCCAAGGCCTCTTGCAGTCCTGGGCTGGGCCCACCTCCCAGAAGCCGGTTCCTCTTAGGAACTGAATAACAAAGATCCCAATACTCTAGAATCAGCCCTATTTTGGAGCTCCGGACAGGGGCACAGAGGGTGGGGGGCGGGCAAAGAGGAAGAGAACAGGCTGGGTTATTGGTTCTTTGGTTAGGCCTCTCAGTATTTCTTAAACCAGCCTGAGTTTCTACATGTGTACATATATTTGGGATTCAGTACTTGGAAGGTGAGGAGGACTCTGCAGCCTGAGTCGGGCTTCTGGTTGTCTCCACAGTGTGCTTTGCTTTTCATTATTTTTCCAGAACTGTCCTTCCACGGTTTCCACAAAAGGTTGAGGATTCTGGGAGCATAAAGGTCAGCCTGGCTTGCATACTAAGCAGTGCACTTCCAGACATCCGTTTGGTTGCTGGAGTCAGAGAGGGCAGCAGGGAGAGTCGGCAGAACACGGGCCCAGGAGTCTAGAGACCTGGGTTCTTGTCTCGCCTCTGCCACTCACAGCGAGGAAGCCACTTGCTGGCTCCGGGACTCAGCTCCCTGTTTGTAAGAAGGCCAAGTTGATGCTGTGATTCAAAGGGCACGGTTCTGCTCCTGACTTTTAAGTCGCGTGATTTCTGGTCTTCCTCAAGGGCCAAAGTGCTGCCAAACCCTCAG